AGAAAGAGAGAGAGAGAGAGAGAGAGAGAGAGAGAGAGAGAGAGAGAGAGAGAGGGGGAGGGAGGGAGGGAGGGAGGGAAGGAGGGAAGGAAGGAAGGGTGGGTGGATCTTACCTCTGCTGAGTCGTCTGGTGTGTCTCCTTCTCGTGCTGGCCACTGGCTGAGAGTCAAATCCTGCCAGCTCTGCCTCTTATCCAGTCACTAATTACATTCCTAACAGCTGTGAGACAAGGCTGCATGTGAGGCCGAATCAGGAAGCACGTGCAAGGCCTTGTCCTTATCGGGCCATACCCCACACATTTTGCCACAAACATGCCGTTTGCACAGCGCTAAAGTAGAATTTGTGAGACAATGGCCCAACATCCCCTAACCCTAACCACAGAATAATTGCGGCTTACAAAAGAAACAAAAATTTAAGAGACCTTTTGGTCCATGCAGAACTAAAGTCCTTAAAGCAGACCAAATCCAGGGGCAAAAGTGAATTTTTTAAACAGTTGGACTGGATACAGAGTAAATCTAATAAGACCGTGTTCCAACTGGAACAATCAGGAAACCCCAAGTCAAAAAATTGTGTTTACTTAATCACATGCAGAATTTCCAAGATCAATTATGTGGGTGAGATCGGCAACACAATTCTTGCTCGTTTCACCCAACACAGATACAATATAAACAAAAAGAAAAACACACACATACCCCTGGTCCAGCACTTTGTCAGACACGGCTGGCAGGCTGTTACAGCAACAGTGCTGGAGTCCAATCTGACCTGATCCGTAGCCCAGAGAAGGAGAGCTGAAAAGATATGGATCAGTAGACTCAATACAAGTATCCCCGGGGGTTTGAATGGGAGGTAGGACTTGGGTGGGACTCCTGGTGGGTGTGCCCGTGCACTCAGGGACCCTTACGCCTCGAGCGACGGGGTCTTTGACATGAGTTCTTACTTTCGGTTAAGTGTGCCACTGCCTGAAGAAGGCTCTGTAAAAAGCCGAAACGTCGCGCCGGCACACTTTTGTTATTGTTTCTTAAAAATAATATACATTAAAAAATCAATTGGATTCAGCTAAAAAAATAATATTCCTTTAAAATATTTATTTTATTATAAAATCAATTCATTTACTCTGGTAGTAATTTAGTTTGCTCCGGTAGATTTTTATTTTTTATTTTTTTAAACACTAAATTTGTTCTTAGTTTTGATCATTTCTTTCATAATATTCATTTAGTTACCGTTTTCATTTACAAACTTTTAAATTTTAACATTTTTTATTTATTCTGGTAGTAATTTCATTTGCTCCGGTAAAAACTTGTTTTTTCCTTTTGCTTTACATTTATTTTCTTATTTTAATCTCAGTTTTGATTTTAATTTTATTAAATAATAATCAGTCAATTTTCATTAAAAAATTAGGAATTTATTAAAAGAGCCTTATTTTGAAGGAACTTGTTTATTTTATATATATATAAATATAACTTTCATCTACCCTCATGGGGGATTTTATGAATGAGGATGGTTGGACCAGGGTGCATTATGGGAGACGCCAACGTCCCCCACAAGGCTCCTGGAACCAGAACCACGGGCCTCCCCAGAGGATGGACCGTGCACCTACTTTCTCCTATGGGAGAAGGATTCAGTCCCCTACCCCTAACCCTATTAATAATAATGAATTTTAATAATATAAATTATTGATTATCAATATCAATAATTTTAATATTCATATTAATGATTTTTAAATATGAATTATCAATATTTATTATTGATGTTAACATTAATAGTAATATTTATTATTAATAATAACATTAATAAATAGGCAGTCTTGATTCTACTCTCCTGAGCGTCAGTTAACCTACTTTGCTTTCAACTTTAATGTGGCATGAACCACAATGTGTACCCCCACAAAAGTTATATCAAAATGACCGGTGGCAATCGTAGTTACCATGGTGATTTTTTTGCTAACAAAGACACCATGTTTTCCCACAGTAAATGAATGAGAGAACATTCTTCACACTAATTGCTGTCAAGTCACATGACCGAGTGTAGAGTCAAAATAGAAATTCATTGTTGGATTCGTTTGAAACTCGCAGAAAGTAATCATCAGATGCATCTAAAACTGATTAATATTTGGAGCCATTTTGATTCAAGATGGCTGCCACAGCAGCCTCAGTAAACTCATAATTGACTATAAATCAGTTATTTTTGATATATTGGGATGAAATTTAGTAGGGTTGTGGCCGAGAGCGATTTGTTATACATTCTTAATGCAAATCAAAAATCCAAGATGGCCAACTTAGCTAAAAAGGAAAAAGGTAACTCCAATTTTTCTGAGCGAATCAGCTGAAATTTGGTAGTGGTAGCTGAGAGCGAACCCAAACACATAACTTTCAAATCAAGAATTTAAATCGGCAGCAGATTGGCAGTCCCCGTCAAAGTTTCTCCAGGAACTTTCTAGTTATTACTACTGAGCGATCTCTCCTATATGAAATTGTCGAAATTGATTCATGCAGAGACTATTTTCCTACGTAAAGCCAAAAAATTGAGATGATTTACTTTTGTTTGGTGTTCATCATCATGGAGGAGTGCGTGAGTGGATGATTATTTTGAAGTTTTGGTCAGAACAGATGATTTTTGTCCATTAAATATAACGTGCCCCACCCACCTGTATTTCTAAGATGATGCATCTGGGCATGTTTTATTTTAATTGTTTTTTTGTTTTTTTTCAAATTGTTAACACTCATATTTCTAACCTTTGAAATTAATTCAAACAACTCTCTTGAGTGTGTATAAGCTCTCATTTAGATGGGGGTTTGTTACAGAGTGGTGGCCTGTATGGGGAACTTTTTCATACAATTAGTGTAAGTTGATGTATCATATTTGTCTGTTGTTTTTGTTGGGGTTTTTGTTAAAAATAATTTATTTTGCATTAAGCATGATAACTTTATTGATATTATGGAAGAAACTCCCTATCAACAATCCAAAACTGACGTACATATTTCATGTGGCAGATGACAAAGGATCTGGTCCATCTTTAGAGACTGATTTAGCAGATTTTCCAGGAGGTGATATTTGGATAACCCAGATAAATCCTGTGTGGGGAAATAACTTCTTTCCTTAGTTCATTGTATGCTTCAGATGAGGAAGGTAATGAGGAGGAAGAGGAAGAGTTGCCATATTTCTCCCATGCAGACCTCTCTAGGCTTAAAGATGACTTGGCAACAGTGGTGGAGAAGGTTAACACTTTAAAGGAGAACCTTCAGGATTCAGGACTCAGTGAGCAGTGCTTTAAATGGAGAATAAAATATAACTTATATAGACAGAACTATTGAGGTTTTAGAACAGGCTGTCACATGCTGAGACAACATTTATTCATTCAGATGATCATTCTGCTTTTACAGAGCACAAATGGTTCATGCATGTTTATAAAAATCTCAGAATGTTGTGATTTTATGAATGGATGAGTTTAGGTAGTCGGGAAGATCAGGAAGCCAGTGAAAGTATGGCTGGCGCTGCTCTGGCTCGTCACAATGCTGTTGTACTTTGTTGTCTGCAGAGAAACCGTGTCTCCGACCTGCAGCTCAAGAAGAGCTGAGCCAGATGTTACCAGGAAACCTTCAGATGTGTCACATAGGGTCATCTGACTGTCGCTGCCCTTCATTAACTTGAGGCACACCTAAATGATTAAAACACACACATTGAAACAGGCAGCTGAGAGATTAGTCTGAAGTATATTTTTAAGAAAAACTATAAAAAAAATGAAAAAATTCTAGACACACTTTAAAGGAAAAAACTTTCCTGACTCACATTGCTCTTTGCTGAAATGTGGAAACTGAAGAAATAAACACCTTTGATTTTACTCAAGAATGTCCCATTTGTCAGAGTTTCTCCTTGAAACTGTGAGTCCAAGTCAGGCAAAATCACTCTGTGAGGAATTTAAACATTCATCTGTTACTGATGATTTTATTGTTAGCATGTAACAAATAAAATGCTGCATTTTTAGCCAATTTTAACATTTTACTATGGTTTTACTGGTTATTGCTTTTCACTTTTATTTGGCTATTTCTGTAGTTGTTCTTATAGTTTCAACTATAACAATATAGTTTTAACTCCCACAACAAAATTCAGGACAGTAATTCTTAGCAATTGTACCAGATTGTCTTAAAAAAACACTTCTAGTTTTTGCAGCTCTTTCATCGTTAGTTTAACAACTTTTTTGGTATTTTCTTTAAATGTCTTCTTTACCAGTTGTTGAATGTGGTATTTATTAACAATTTTGATAACACCAAAGTCAAAACCAAGTAGCTATAGTTCAGACCTGTTGAAGTCAATGGTCGTGTCTAACTCTGGTGTTTGGGAAATCTCCCGCTTGTAGGAGAAAAAGGATTTCTGGCGGTTGGTAGGATTAAAGGGTCTTCCCTTCTCCCCCTTCTGGCCTGTATATCCTGGAGGTCCCGGCAGGCCAATGTCCCCCTTCATACCAGGCCTTCCTGGTGGACCCCTTGGACCTTGTACCCCTTTCTGGCCCCTGATTGGCTGAGCTGCCTCACCTGTTCAAAGTAAAAAACACATTTGTACAGTTTGGAACAGAAACTGTGATGCTGATAGGGAAGTTATTCTTTTTGTTTTTGTTTTTTGGAAAAACATGCCTTCTTGAACTTTCTCAGTTGTTCAACCTGTGCAGTACCTCCATTGATCTCATTCCTAATCTTATTCATCCTAGTCACTCTTAAGAAGGACCTCAACATTTTCATTTCTGTTACTTCCAGTTATATCTCCTGTCTGTTTGTCAATGCCAATGTCTTCAGACCATACAGCATAGCTGGTCTCACAACTGTCTTATAAATTTTTCCTTTGACCTTTGCTGACACTAATGCGGCTAACTAGTCCTGAAACTTTTTTCTCCATCCACTCGATCCTGCCTGGACTATTTTTTCACCTCTTTACCACACTCCCTGTTTTCCTGGACAGTGGACCGCAAGTACTTGGAAGTCCTGAATCTTTGTGAGCTATGCTCCTTGTAGCCTCACTGTTCCACTGGGTTCCCTCTCATTCAAACACATGTACTCTGTCTTATCACTGTCCCACTCCTTAATGTTCAGTTTCCTGTCTAACTCATACACTTTCTTCATTGCCTTTGCTACCTCCTTCTTTACACTACATTGCATCTCATTGTATTCCGGTCTCCTTTCTTCAGTCAGCTATCATATTTCTTATTGGCTAACCTCTTGCTTTCAATAAGCTTCCCAAACTTTCACTATTCTACCACCAGGTTTCTTTATCGTCTTTTCTCTATCCAGATGACACACCAAGTATTGTCCTACCTGTCTGTAAGGTATCATTTTTACACCACCTCCAACATTAGCCCAGGCTTGGGACTGGTACAAGAGACAATCTGGCTTGCACTCCATAGTGGCTGGTTTATTTTACATCTTGATTTATTTTTATCTAAAATGAGAAGAATGTGATCCACTGAGCTCACCTGGGTCTCCCTTTTCACCTTTCGAACCATCCCTGCCATTTTGTCCATGGATGCCAGGTATGCCAGGAATCCCTCCAGTACAGGAAATCTGCATGTGGACCAGTTCCATGTGGACCAGGAGGAGTAACACTGCAGTACAGCAGCTGAACCACTGGATGGCCTGAACACACAAATATTCACTATCAGAATACAGCAGCTCAGTTCTATACAGTAACAGATGAAACATTGGAGATTTTTCCCCTTTTTTATTCCCTCGCAATATTTTTGCATTCCACCACAAAAGTTTTTGCATTCCCTCACAAAACTTTTGCATTCCCTCACAATGTACTGTATGTAGTGTTACCTCACAGACAACGGCAACAATGGAACAGACTCGTATTTGAGGTTCATGGAGTTTTGTTTTGAAATCAGCCTTAAATATAAGGATATCCAGTGGTAAACTTAGTTTTACATTGGATATTTCACGTTCATACTCCATGGAGTCAGCTGTGGCTTCCTTATTTGAGCCAAGACATGCAGTCTGATTTTGTTCAGCTGACAGCGGTCTCTCCTCCTAGGAGCAATGATTCTATTAGGGACCATAAACAAAATACCAGGCTAATGAGTTTGGTCTGAACGCTGTTATAATATTTTAATTCAAGCATTCAAGGTTCTTTATTGGGGACTGCCATGCAAATGCATGGCAGTCTCCAATTTATGATAAATTTTGTGGGGGGCCATGTTGCGGTTTGGGCTGCATTAAAGTTGAAAAAGATACACTTTTCAGGTGTGGAATAATAAGTGGCCAGTCACCAACTAGTTCCTGGAGTTGGTGAAATATTGCGTCTTTGTTCACAAATTATGTTGCCATGGTAACTTGAAATGCCAATAAAAGTAATAGCACACTTCACGGGGCCGAGCCAGTCATTTTGATATAACTTTTGTGCAGGTAGACATTGTGGTTCAGGCCACATTAATGGAGATAGAAATGTAGACTCACTTCTGTGGTGTAGAATAATAGGTGCCTGCCATGCATTTGTATGGAAGTCCCCAATCAGCAAAACTGAAACAACAGTTAAAATTAACTGAATTGTTGCTAAAAGCTTAAAAGTTTTAAACCCCAAAGCAACCGCTAAAAACCTTAAAATAATAAAACCATAGCTAAGGGCTTAAAGGATCTAAACTCTAGCTACATGCTATAATAAACACATACTAGCTTAAAGATAATGCCCATTTAGCCATTATGGATTTTTTGCTGCAAATTAAATCTGTAATTTGATCTTACTTTTGATTCATTAAAGGAATTTTAGCAAATGTCTGTTTAATTACATGCCCAGAAACAACATTTTGACCATTTGTTTAAGTACTTATTTTTAGTTTTGTCCCGTTTGGTGATGTTTCTTGTTTATTTTAGTTCATATTTATTGCTGATTTGGTAATAATTAAGTTTTTTTTTTCTTCCCATTTCTCGTGCAGCAGTTTGGTCAACTCACTATGTTTTGAAATAAAAACTTGACTAAAGGACACCAAACAGGTTGTATAAATCAGTGTTCAATGCCTTTCAATATTTATCTATGGAAGACAAATTTCTTCAATAAGTATTCTCACCATTTGCAGAAATCTGTCGTCGTGTGGTGCAGCAGTGATTTGACAAAGAGCTGTCCAGCTTTCCCAGAGGTTCAGTCAGGAAAAAAAACGGGAAGTGAAACTCCAGAGAAGATGAAGCTCTGCTGGTGTCGTTTGGGATGATTTTCTGCAGTGGTGGAGAAAGTACTCAAACACTGTACTTAAGTAAAAAGTACAAATAAACAGACAAAAATGTACTCTAGTAAAAGTAGAAGTACCACATTAATGTTTATACTTAAGGAAAAGAATTGTAATTGCTGTTCTCCAAGTTGTTATTTTTGTCTCACACTTTGTACCCTGCGGTTTATATGCAGGAGCATCTTATTCATGTACGTTTTTCATCCATCCATCCATCCATCCATCCATCCATCCATCCATTCTCATCACTTATCCACGGTCAGGTCTTGGGGGTAGCAGCTTAAATGGGGAGGCCCAGACTTCCCTCTCCCCAGTCACTTGGACCAGCTCCTCTGGGGAAATCCTGAGTCATTCCCAAGCCAGCCAAGAAAAATAGTCCCTCCAGCATGTCCTGGGTCTTACTCTGGGTCTCCTCCCAGTGGGACATGCCCAGAACACCTGATGAATTAAATGAGCCAATGTCCTTGTGCATCAACAAATACAGCCATCTATCCATTTTCTTCCACTTATCCAGGGTTGGGTCAAGGGGGTAGCAGTCTAAGTAGGGAGGCCCAGACTTCCCTCTCCCAAGCCACTTGTTCCAGCTCCTCCAGGGAAATCCCGAGTCATTCTCAAGCCAGCCAAGAAAAAAAATAGTCCCTCCAGCGTGTCCTGGGTCTTCCTCTGGTCTCCTCCCGGTGGGACATGCCCAGAACACCTCACCAGGGAGGTGTCCAGGAGGCATCCTAACCAGATGCCCGAACCACCTCAACTGGCTCCTCTAGATGTGGAGAAGCAGTGGCTCTACTCTGAGTCCCTCCCGGATGACCAAGCTTCTCACCCTACCTCTAAGGGAGAGCCCAGACACCCTGCGGAAAAAACTCTTTTCGGCCGCTTGTAGCTGAGATCTCGTTCTTTCGGTCACAACCCAAAGCTCATGACCATAGATGAGGGTAGGAATGTAGATCGACCGGTAAATTGAGAGCTTCGCCTTTTGACTCAGCTCTGACTTCACCATGACAGACCGGTACAGCGCCCGCTTCACTGTCAATGCTGCACCTATCGGCCTATCAATCTCACGTTCCATTTTTCCCTCATTTGTGAACAAGACCTCGAGATACTTGAACTCCTCCACTTGGGGCAGGACCTCCTCCCCGACCCAGAGAGGGAACTCTACCCTTTTCCGGCTCAAGACCATGGCCTCGGATTTAGAGGAACTTTTCCTCATTCTGGCTGTGTCACACTTGGCTGCAAACCGCTCCAGCAAAAGCTGCAGATCACAACCTGATGAAGCCAATAGGACCACACCATCTGCAAAAAACAGAGAAGCAATCCCAAGGCCACCAAAATGGATCCCCTCAACACCTTAGCTGGGCCTAGAAATTCTGTCCATAAAAGTTATGAACAGAATCGGTGACAAAGGGCAACCTTGGTGGAGTCCAACTCTCACCGGGAACGAGCCAGACTTACTGCTGGAAATGCAGACCAAGCTCTAGCACCGGTCGTACAGGGACCTAACATCCCGTATCAAAGGGCCTGGTACTCCATACTCCCGGAGTACCCCCCCACAGGTTTCCCCGAGGGATGTGGTCGAATGCCTTCTTCAAATCCACAAAGCACATGTAGACTAATTGGGCAAACCCCCACGCACCCTCCAGGACCCTGCTGAGGGTGTAGAGCTGGTCCAGTGTTCCACGACCAGGACAAAAACCCTCGCTGCTTCTCCCGAATCTGATGTTCGACTATTCAACGGACCCTCCTCTCCAGAATCCCCGAATATACCTTACCAGGAAGGCTTAACACTAGAAGTCCCAGAGAAGGGTCATTTAACATTTCTACCTTT